ATGCCCTTCAACAGATGAATGGATAAAGAAGATGTTGTCCATATATACAATGCGATATTACTCAGCCATCAGAAATGATGAATACCCAACTTTTACATCAACATGGATGGGACTGGAGGAGATTATGCTAAGTGAAATAAGTCAAGCAGAGAAAGTCAATTATCATATGGTTTCACTTATTTGTAGAACATGAGGAATAGCATGGAGGACCTTAGGAGAAGGAAGGGGAAAATGAAGGTGGGGACATCGGAGGGTGAGACGAACCATGAGAGACTATGGACTTCGAGAAACAAACTGAGGGTTTTAGAGGGGAGTGGGATGGGGGAATGGGTTAGCCCGGTGATGGGTATTAAGGAGGACACATATTGCATGGAGCACTGGGTGTTACTCGAAAATAATGAATCATGGAACACTACATCAAAAACTAATGATGTACTTTATGGGGACTAACGTAACATAATAAAATAAAATTAAAAATAAATAAATTTATTAAAAATCCTTGAACCATACACTTGTAATGAATAAATTTTATTGTATGTAAATTATACCTCAGTAAATCTGTAAAGAGAAAATAGCTGGTAAAGTACGTTTTCAGAGGTGAGTGGCACACCTTGAGGTACAGAACTTCAATCCCTTATTCTTGGTGGACAAGTAAGGGTGTATGTTGGCACCAATAGCTTCTCTGGACCTCATTGCTTTCTGAGAAGACAGTGAGATTGGAGGTAGGGTAAACAGGGAATTACAGCTGTGCTCCTTTGGTAGAGGGAAAGAAATAAAACTGCATTGTGACTTGTGCCAAAACTGTCTATGTCTCACAGAAGTACAGGCCAAAAACACATGAGAACAACCCTAGGTCACTAGGAGGATTCCTGATCAGTTTAAGTGAGGGAACTGGCACACTGTGACCTGAGCCAGATCTGACTCTCAGACTAAGACCCATGAACTAAGAAGAATTTTTATATAACTTCTAAATAAGTTTTTGTAAGAAGAACAAGATGTGATGGAGGCTGTGTGTGTCCCACAAAGACAAAAATATGTACTACCTAATTCTTTATTGGAAAGTTTGCAGACGCCTGACTTAGAACATGGCTTTAGCCTGTATTAGAAACTGAACCAAACATACACACACACACACACATATATATATATACACACACACGTATGTGTAAAGACATTTATTGTAAGGAATTTGCTCACCTGATTATGGAGTCTGACAAGTCCCAAGAGCTGTAGTTTGCAGTCTGGAGACCCAAAAGAGCCTATGATATAGTTTCAGTCCACGTCCAAAGGGCTTGAGACCCAGGAAGAGCTGCTGTTTCCATAAGAGTCCAAAAGCAGGAAAAACTAACCTCCCAGCTTGAAGGAATTTAGGCAGGAGAAATTCCCTCGAATTCATCCTACTCCCTAGGGTCAGCCTTTTTGTTCTGCAGGCCTTTAGCTGATTGGTTGGGGCCACTGTGTTAGGGAGGGCAATCTGCTTTATTCAGTCTCCTGATTCAGATGTTAATTTCATCCAGAGACACCTTCACAGACACACCCAGAGTAATGTTTGATCACGCTTGTTGGCACCCTAAGACCCAGTCAGGTTAACACAGAAAATTAACCATCACTTGGCCTCTCATCCCCACAAACTTGTAAATAGCTCTTCTAGGAAACACTCATCTTCTTCAGGTTGAGTAATCAAAAAGAAACGAACACAGGAACACAGTATCTCTATAAACATACCAAAAAACAAGAAAGGAATAGTAATAACTAATGCAGATTGAGACCATTTATCAGAAAAACTATAGCCATGAAATGAAAATTGAATGCAAATATTTTATCATAAATTTTTAAAAACTTATTAAAACAGTAACTTTTGCTTCTATAGCAGATTAGTTTACCTCATACCCACCACCTCACCAAGAGCTGGATTTTTTTTAAAAATTGTCAACATGGTGGGACTATTTCCTACAGTGTTTATCTGCCGGAAGGCATTGGAGAGAGAAGGCAGCCGTCATCACTGACCAAGATCCTATAGAGGAGTAGTGCAGAGAGATGAGCCCAGGACTCAATGCCGCTTTTCCTCTTGAGGCATTTGCTGATATGAAAGCAGTAGCTGAGGATCCAGGAAGCTGAGCACAGTATTCCACAGTCCCACAAGTTTGAAGAGATGAATACAAACTTTCAGTCGGACTCACTGAAAGGCTACATTTTAGGAATAAGAGTGAACCAGAAAGGGGCGTCTGGGTGGCTCAGTCGGTTAAGCGTCTGCCTTCTGCTCAGGTCATGATCCCAGGGTCCTGGGATCGAGCCCTGCATCGGGCTCCCTGCTCGGCGGGAAGCCTGCTTCTCCCTCCCCGCACTCCCCTGCTTGTGTTCCCTCGCTTGCTGTGTCTCTCTCTGTCAAATAAATAAATAAATCTTAAAAAAAAAAAAAAAAAG